ATATATATATATATATATATATATATATATATATATTGTTGTAAAGGTGTTGCCAGTGCATAACATCTGTGGGCCAGATACGTGCAGTCAACGACCCTTGGTATAATAAACGTTTTCATTCTGGTAATTGAAGTAGAGCAAAGGTCACAACAACAAAAGAAAGCCATCTAGAATTACAGAAAGATCTTGTCATCAGCAATAGATAATGGGCCAGGTCAAACGGAAAACAACATGAGTCCCAGATCTAGTGCACGCACGTTCTTTCACATAACTGCTCTTTTAAAGCCACATTATGTAACATTAGTACGATAGAAAGGTAATATTTTGGTAATTACAAATTAAGTTAATCAACTCTACATCATTGCAAGAAAGTGCAATTCAGGAATTGGAGCGAAATATGACGCTTTACGGATGTTTTTAAAAGCTAGAAACACAGCTTGTTTACATTCTGGCGCATGGCCGATTGTGGTGGTACCACATATTGAGCGCGCCTCGTGTGGGCCCTTTGGGAACACGTATCTGTTACCAGTGGATTGTCTTTACCTCATTTACATACTGATTGATACATGTAGTCTCTGCATATTCATTTATACCCACTAAAAGTTGTTGCTGCTACTTGAAACATCTGACATTTTTCAAAATCTATCCACTTTCTTGCCTATAACCGTCTTGTATATTCTGGATGTTTGGAGAAGACATTTCCATTTCTTAAAAAGTTTTTACCAGACTGTAAAGGATCCCAGGAGTACTGTGGTGCTAGGAGTGCTAGCACACTAGACTGGTATCCAGACTACTAGTATTGTATGAATTATATGCAGACAATTGTACCAGTATTGTCACCATCAAGTTTCTTTGCAAAAAAAAAACAGTAATTGTCTGGTTACATTTGCCGCATGCCGTCTTACAATTATGATGGTTTAGGTTTTAAAAGCAGGAACTGATAGAACGAAACACCGAGAAGGATTTAATACAGCCTTTTAGGAACAACACCGAATCCATTTTCTATATGACACGTACGCACATGCACGCCTAATTCCAATAATGCTGTCTCAATAATGCCAGCGTTCTCGACTCGGAACCAGAGGCCCCGTGTTCGAGTCCTGACATGCCACCGATCTTGTGCCCTTGGGAAAGGCACTTTACACGACTTTCCTCACTTCGCTCAGGTGTAAATGAGTATTGTATTGTCCCCTGTGTCTGCATTAATATAAGTTGAAAAAACTTGAGTGTGTCGTCACCACGTCTTGTGATTACATGTTTCGGAATAAAAAAAAATAATGCCGTAAAATAGCCATCGTACGACAATGTGGTACCCACTGTACTAACAACGCGGGTTTACTAACAGTAAAATTTAGCCAAGTATGATGGAATGATTGGCCGGTGGGGTTGGGGTGTTAGTTACTAAATGTAGTCCATTTACTCTGACTCTGCTGGCCAATTGTTCCATTTACTTGGAAAATAATTCTACTACCCTTACCCTCCTATGATAAGATCGGAAAGGCTGATGTAGGCTAATCGGAATGTATAGAAGTGTCATGGCGACACCTTCAAATCTTGTCTCAAAATAGAAGCAGGTTGGGTATAACTACTTGATGATTACAAAGAACGAACTGTGGTGCCCACACTGAACACTTTATATTAACTCCTACTTCTTCTCAGAAAACCAAAGAACATTAAAAAGCAATCGACAAACTTACCCTTTACCCTGTTTTCGGCGTCGAAAGACAACAATCAAACGAGAAGGCACGAACCTCAATTTTAACACCAGATTGAGTAAGCAGGTTTTAGACACGTAGACACCTAGTAGGAATTCTCGATGACGCAGTAGTATATGGTCTATTGTGGTCGGAGAACGCATTATCACGTCGCAATGCACCAGTCCCAATAACAATCAATCCGCGGACAAAATAGTCCCCAAAGAATGTCAGAATGTTTCCCTTCTTGGGTGACGACATGGTGCCTTTAAGTTAGTAAAATTCGATTGTAGCTCTAATTTCAAATTATAGACCCTTTTTTTTTGCCAACGAGAGTTACTTATAAAACATAATACCAGGGTCAACGGTCTATAGGGCGTTGCTGCGTAGAACTAACAAGAAATTAATACCAAAGACAAATAGGGTCAATTTAGCGCTACAAATAAAGCCTCCAGCCAAAAGAGCCCAGTCCTATAATTTCCTCTCATTTTTTCCATTCCAACATTCTCCGTTGCTACGATACAAAAACATAACAACACACTTCTAACGTATCAAGTATATATGGTTGTGGTTGTGAAACAAACAAAAAAAGATGCGAAATTTTCGACTTGTGCCAAAAGGGTGCCATTGTAAATTCGTACAACTCAACTAGTGTGTTCTAGCCTCTACCAGGCACCGCGGATCGCTGGAAAAATAGTAGAAATTGGCCGAAATAAAGGGATAGTATACATGTACCAGAGAAGATCCAGGGCCATAGAAGCTCCAATTTCCGTGGGTCGCAAATTGGAACGGCAGTTATGCCAGATATACAGGTACAATGCGAACACTATTGAAAGACGACATGTCAAACCCAATTAGACTACGTTATAAAACACACCTGTGACAAACAGCCTATAGATAATACCACACAGGAAGAGAGCAGGTACCTTATTAATAATGCATAAAGGAGCCACCTACATGAAAATACATGTATGTCTGATAGCCTACAAATGTATTTTCTATCCCTTTCTATGTTTTAACCTCTTTTTATAATCAAGCTTAAACAATGTAAAAGCAGCCCCGTCGCTTTTTTTCGAGGGTAGGGGATGTTGTTAATCCACTGTGTCTAGGGCACATCTCTCTCCTTCCATCGCCTTTTACCTCACTAACCGAAGTCAGGTTGCAATTTTACACCTAAGTTAAGTGAGGAAAGTCGTGCAAAATGTCTTTCCTAAATACAAAAGATAGGTGACAGTACAGGATTCCAATCGGGGACCTCTAAAGATTTCTAGCCGAACACCCTGTCGTTATGGCACGCGAACTCATTCTAATTCATACAAGTTTTCTACCTAAAAAAATGTAAAAAATTTACATACCTGGTTAAAATGGCGAGGTTACCTTTGTGGAACTCTGAACGTCCTTGCAGAAATCCTCTAAGGATAATTGTGTTGTTTTAGTAAACAGCAGAGTTTCCACTGGAGACCCACCTGTAACGTTGCCGAACCGGTCTCACCGGTGTGTGTGTGTGTAAATGTGCTTGTCTGAATCCGGTTACGCGAGCTTAAACCGTCACATAGGCCAAACACCATCCACATTCACAATAGAACAGTTACTCAAGGAACTGGAACTATGTGAGTAGCATCCCTGGGGTCGCGTGGCGTAACGTTAGATTGTTCGTCTCGGAACAAAGAGTAAAGCCTCGGTCACAACCCGCCGTACGTGCTTCTGCGTGCTGTCTACGTTCAAAATCGTGGGCAAACGTAGGGCACCCGTGCGTTGTGAGTATCGCCTCCGTACGGAATCCTACGGATTTGGGAGCACGCAGACACGCCGTAGAACTTTAAGTGCATGCAAAACTTTTTCTGCCTTCTGACTACGGATTTAGCACCCGTGCGTGCGAGTACAGGCGACGCACGTACCGTACGAAAGACGCACGTGTGAGTACGGCCTCCTTACGGTAAAGTTGCAATCGCACAGAGATCGTACGTTGTAAGCACGTACAACTCACTTACCACTTGCGCAACGTACGATGCACGCAACGGCTCACGGCCAGACTTGGCGTGCAGACCACACTCTTACACCTTGCGCAACCGTGCGACTGACGTGCGTGTTTTCAGAAAAAAACGTAGCAGACGTAGCCTCCCATAAACGTACGGACAAAAAGCACATACGGCGGGTTGTGACCGAGGCTTTAACTAGATCACGTGTTCGAGATCGAACCCTACCATGCCACCGATCTTGTGCCTTCGGAAAGGCACTTTACACGAACTTCTCCTATTAACTCAAATGAAAGTAAGCATGTCTGTTGTCCGTGCGTTTTTCTGCGTAAGTGTCAGTTTAAAGAATGGAAAAATCGATTGTTCCTCCGCCATGTATTGTTATAAATGTTGGAATAGAAAAAAAAATTATCAGTGACTGCCAATGCTACTAGATGCTACTTCAAACGTGAAAAATTTGTTTAATTTTTAAAAATGTATCCAGTTGCTGGTGTTACAAATTCCTTTTCTATTTCATTAACTGGATGCCTAACCTTCATCTACGTATTTGTACATTATTAATTTGTTAATTTTTTTATTCATCATTAATTCATTTATGTATACATATTATTTATTTTACCAGTGTATCACCTGTTTTACATGTGTCCCTTGGCACATAGAAGTACCATACACAAGAAATAAAAAAATTACATATTAGGCATCAAGCAAGAAAAAAAAGTAAAATTTAAAGACGATATTAAAAGTTCTAAATGAAAGCTCAGGCTTTATATTTGTCTTTATTTTTGCAAAGCACACTACTAAAGTATTGCGCTGACAGATTTTCCCCTCGCAGCAGAGTTTCTTACGCTCTTTAAGCCGTAAACCCCTGACCCAAGCCGAGGATTACATTTCAAAAGAAAAGAAGCTCACGCTAGATTTTGCTAATTGAAAAAGGAGTATTAGTCTTAAAAGAACATCAAGCTTAGTAGAGACTGCCGAAGATGCTCTCAGTTCAGCAGCATTGCTGCTCAGTCCAACTGTTGGAAGCCCACCTGCGTTATTGATCACTTGTACGTCACTTGCTGGAATGTTATTAGTGACAGCAGAGCGTGCAGCCAAGTCGTTGACCAACTTGTTCGTGGTTTCTTGTAAATCAGTCAGTTGTTTCTGAAGCGTCTTCATGGTCATTTTCAGCTTAGTGGGCGATAATACACTGTTAGGTGCTGTTGTCACGCTGCTTGTGGCCGTGGTTGTCACGCTGCCTTCAGACGTGGTTGTCACAGCGCTTCCCGACAACCCACTTGTACCCCGGGTCGCCGTAGAGCGGGCTCTCCTACGTACGGGCGGCATGTCTGAAGCTCAAAGAATATAATCAATACAAAGACAGTTTTTTAAAAAGGAAGGCACAATTAAAATTGCCACAATCACTGAAACGCCCTGCTTCGTATATTAAGGTGACTAGGCAGGAAATTTGAAGTTTCAAAATCCCCTAGGGGATATGGGCGTAACCATCAAAATGTTAAAAATGGAACGGTAACAATAAATTGCATGTGAGTCATCGAACAACAACAATGACAACTACAAAGTATCAGGCTGTGAAAAATAAAGCCATATCATTTACTTGTTGCACAGGGCCAGTATAGTGAACTGAAACTCACTCGAATCCTCGGCAACCCGCCGTTGAACAAGTCGCTCTGCCAACTGTTGTGAAATACGATACCTCTAGAGACGTTGTTAGTCTGAACAAGTCCGAGAGGGATACCTGCCGCGCTTGATGAATTACAAAACTCAAACTGCGGGCCTCCGCAGAATAATTAAGAAATATGTTGACAGAGTTAAGAATGACCCAGACAAACTGCAATTTCAAGTAGGGCAAGGGTGGGAGGGAGAAAAATGGGCGTGCGTCTCTTCAAGTCTCAGTGTAGAAGAGGACGTGTGACGCGGGAAGTTTCCAGAAGTTTACTCCTCGTGGCTTTTCTGTTCTCTGATTGGCTGCTCAGCATGTGGACACCGCGTGATTCAAAAGTGATTTCGGAATGATACAACTAAGGGCCAAATTAAAGCAAAGCTCTGTTCCCGTCGTCCGGCATAAAATCAGTATTTCGCGTGCGAAAGTGATTTTATGTCTACCTCCTAGGACCATAGCTAATGGACACAGTATCAACCAACAAATGGCGGTTTGGCGGAAATACTAGGAATTTTATGACACAAACGTG